TAATTTTTTTAATTAAATAGTATAAATTATAATTGACACGTACTTTTCTTTTCGTGTATTTAAATCAGCTATGATATTTTGCCAACGACGTTTTATCGTTTCGATAATTTCTCTTAGTTCCACCATATCTTCAGCTTTAGCACGACTTAGCATACTAGCACTTGTAACGTTAATATTATTCATGGTCCTTTGCATTCTAGAAATCTCTTGTTCCAATTCAAATATTTTCGTTTTCGATGTTTTAGAAGGACCAAGAGAACTTATTTTTTTGAATGACTCTTCCGTTTTATCCAGCCAATCAGAAAAAGTCCGACATGTATTACAAAGTTCTTTCCATTTTTCGTAACATTTACTCCAACGATTGTGTCTGTCTACGTAACACTGATTAACATTTATCCATTCGTCCCGTAATTTATCGCTCAAACGTCTGATTTGTTCAGCTTGTTCCCTTCTTAACTGAGAAGCAACGTTTTCGAAGACAGTGTTAATTTCTTCAATGCTTGGTTTAAGAATATTTAATGCATTACTAATTTTTTTCAGGCATTCCTCTTGACTCGAAAACATTTCATAATCATCGCCATTCAGGGGCACTGAATTTAAAGATCTCGTCACAGTCACGACAGCTTCTCTAATCTTATTGACTCTTGTAGTAAACTCTTGCATATCAACTCCTCCCACATCCTGAAGATAATAAAACCACCATAAAATATGTTTAACAAATACAATTTTTAATAAAAGCATATGAACATACCACTTCAACTTTTTTATCTGTTACGTGCTTGTCCTTATCCTTACTACCACTGTATCTCTTAAATTGTGAACTAACTTCCTGCCACCTACTGTTAATGCTATAACGTATAGTTTCGGAATATCCAATATTTAATCTTTTCAATTCAATAGCCAAGTCGTTTAATTTATGAATTTGCTCTTGCTTTGCGTCAAATTCAACAGTAAATGATTCTAATTGGCCCTCATAATTGTTTACTTGTTCAAGTTTCAATGGCACATCTCTAAACCAATCTTCAAAGTCTGCTACTATATTATTATACTGTCGCAATAATTCTTCTCCACGTTGCGCTTGTATGCGTCTTGTGTCTATTTCCGACATAACTTGGTGCCATTTACTTCTTAACTTATCCTGATGTTCATTTTTTATTTTCTCAGCTCTAACAGGATCAGATGTATGCACTGTCATGACTAGACCGTCGCCTTTGCTAATCAAAGCTGCTGCATCTGGCGCAAGTGTACTAACTTCGCTCTTTAGTACCTAAATACATGAAATATACAACATATAGTATATTTATACAACATTACAATAAGATTACAGTAATAAATACAAACCTCCAGACGCTTAGTAGGATCTTTTTCATTACTGATGCCACTGATGCTCATCAACATGACATCCATTCTATGTAACATCAGTTGAGCAGCTTGTTCAAATTCTAAAATATTTTTCTCCAAACCTGTCCTGGATAAACTGGTTGAAACTTTAAATAGTCTCTTCTCACTAGAGATCTTTGCCTCTGTTTTATGTTGCATTTCCTGTGATAACTTTTCAGCCTGTATCTATATGTAACAAAGTTATAAAAAATCTAAAAAGTATTAAACTTCGTTATGTATGTGTTAGCCTTCACCTATCATTATGTATCTACAAAAGCTTAAAATTGTAATTGATACTAGTACAAATTATATTATTAATAGCACACAACAGATGATAGAACTTACAATGGCAAGATAAGTGCTATTAGAATTACCTTGCCCAAGAGGTGCTCAACATGTTCTCCTAAATTTGTATCTTCTCCATCTGAACTGGAACTTCCAACATCAATTTCTGTATCATCGGAAAAAATTAAAACATCATCGGTTTCTTTATCGCTCCCGTAAAAGCTTTCACAATCCTCTAGAGTATCGTCTTTTGATACATTTCTGGTACGTCTGAATATCAACGATTTTGTACTTTTTTCAGAGTCAACGTTATGGCTTTCACCATTACGTGACATTGGAAAATCTGTATCTTTTGTAGATGTAGATTCTCTATCATTACTATGCTCTTTTCTCCTTTTTGTTAGAGTGATTGGTGATGGGAAAGGACCGGTAGTAGTAGTACTTTTTGGGTTTAACTTTGTATTTGTTTCATTATCTTCAAGTATAAGATATTCAGCAATACTATCTTTATCTTTCCACATAGAACCTTTTTTACTCGATAATTGCGAATTCATTGGAACAGATTGTGAGACATTATCTTTTACCGATTTGCTACTTGAAATTTGATTATCTGATGATACATCCTCAACATCTAATTTAAGAGTTAATTTTTTAATACTTTTCGTAGAATATGGCTCTATCGCTCTTTTCTTCTTTAAAATAGGAATGAGTTCTCTTTTTTTTGTAACAACTTGATTTCCATTACTAATTGCACTACAAATTTTTGCCCTAGATTCTTTATCTTCTGTATCGGTATCTACTGATTCCGGTTCTGTTTCTGTATCCTCAATAATCTCTACTCTTTCAACAACTTGGGGCATTAATCCTACACTGACATTTGCACTTGGTAATATTACGTGATCTTCGGGAGATGCAACTGATTTTACTATTTCCATTTCTTTCACTTCTACAATGCAGAAGGGATTCGTCTGCGTGTTATACATGTTGAACGGTTTTGAATCTGTTGTAATTAGTGTATTAGAAGAAACTTGGGAAAATAATTTACTATTTTTGGACAAGAAGAATTCTTCATCGGCCATGTACACGTCTGTATCAGGAGATGAAGAAGGTAGATCGTCGTCGATATGAACGACTTGTGGTTGAGAGGTTTGAACAACATCGGGTACAGAACTCATATCTAACTTTCGTCTAACGGTTCTACTAACATCTACGATTTTAGCCTTTACTTTCTCAGATTTTACAGAAGATTTCCGGCTTCGATGAACGATATCAATTGGTGAACTTTCAGGTGTACGTATAACGTTACACTGACTTTCATCAAACGCAGGATTAAGATATCCTATACCATATATTTCCTCATTCTCATCTATTAATTTATTTTCTTTTTTAGCTAGTTGCACCGAAGTTTGATCCGGCTGTCTAGACAATTTAGTGCGTCCATAATTGTCTCTCCCCTTAGTTTCTCCCACCTTACTTTTTATTAATAAACTGTCTGTGATTTTGTGGATCCATTCCTGTGAAAATATGATAGGTAACAGAAAATTCATGGACAGGCGACAGTTAATTGAAAGAGCAATGTTAATAGTGTGACAATATCAAGCATGGCCAAAATGAAAGTGACAATGCATTTCATTGTGCAAACAAAGCTTTTTCTTTGCGTGTATCCATCACCAGTATAAAAACTTGGAGCACATTTTTGTTCATTCCTTATTCATTTTGCTTTGCAAATCATGTTCAGACTTCTGTATGAAAATCTATACAAGGGGAGAGACAATGTCATAAATGATTGATCAATAACAAGTCTTTTTCCATCCACCAAATTTATATCTGCTTTTTATTAATTATGACAGTATTATTTACATAGATAGAGACACCTCTTGGACAGGATCAAAATACTCCATAAAGTTTACTAATGTTCCAATGTAACTTATATACATATAATGCCCATACAATCAAGTGTTAACTGTGTACATAATAATAGTTATCAAACTTAAGAAGTATAAAT